ACGGTGTTAATATCTAACTTCAACCAATCCACGAAGTTGCGCCACCGCACACCATTGTCTCCAATGACTTGATATCTCAAAACAAACCTAGTTGAACTCCACTGGTCATGGCTTCTCACTAGAACTCCAGGAGTATCTCTTGAAGTCAGTCACTAGTGAGCAGATGATTAATATTAGAAGGGGTTTTGTGGAGATTTTAGAAATTTCACTGGTTCCAGGTTTTCCATGGTGGTCTAGCTTCAATTGACTCATGATTTCAATCAGTGAAATCCTTTATACGACAGAATAATGTATAATGATCTGAATTAAAACAAGCTGTTGGAAACACCCAAAAAATTCACTGCAGAAAACCAAAAAGGACTCTGAAAATGCTGACAAAACTTTCTTATCCAATCAGCATTCAATAGAAGCTTTATCAGAAACATTTAGAAAGTGAAAAGTCAAATGTCACATTTATGATTGGATAATTACCTATCCTACTATTATGTTTAGTAGCGTTCCAGAACTTTCCAGAAACCAAAGGTCATCTAAAATGCTATAAATACCCTAGATTTTTTTGTATACGAACGAACCTTTAGAGTAAAGCGTTCTTTCCATATTTTACACCTTTTCTTTCGTGTTCAAGCTACCATGTAGATTTAGTGTACAGAGCTTAATAAAACTAATCAAGAGTTAACTTGGAAGACTTATCAAAGCTTTGTATTTCAGTATCTGATTTATACTGAAATTACCCACTTATTATGTAGGGATAACTAATCAAATAGGTACGGTGTCTTTAATCCAGATTATTCACGTTAGTATTGACAGATTTCTGTATTATCATTATATTGTCCACATAAATCGTGAGCTTTTACTCGGTTGATCTAAATGTGTTAGACAAACAACATATACTCATAGCTACATAGATATGTATATGATAACTGTGTACAACTCAAGGGATAAATGGATCCTTATGTATTTGAATGGATCTAGAATATTTGACTTTTGACTGATCCACTGTACTGATAAGCTATGGTTGAATTTCTCGTCCCTTTCACGAACTTCTCTTTACAGAGTTCAACTATAATCTCCCATGAAACTGAACTTATGATCTTTAAAGTTTCGCGATAAGCATTTTACATTGTAGTAAAAAAACCCAACAGTTTACATTTTCGAATTTAGTCAATTCAGCATACATAAAGCAACTTTCATATAGTAATACTACTACTACTATCAATGATAAGTGAATAATTTTCGACATAATTGAGATTAACCGTTACCGGTATTTCAGTTGAACTTCAAATAAGTTAAAAATTAGTTAGTTAGTAATGAGGAGAAAATAGTTGTTCTGTTAGATATTTTTGTATTGATAGTTTTGCCCCCAAATGCCCTGGTATGGCCGAGAGTGGGGCGGGCTCGCCCTCCCTCTCGAAATGCTCTCACACGGCCACTCGTATACAGCCTCTGCCAGAGAAGTCCTACTCACTGCCTTCTCGTAGCGGGGGTGTTGTTTACAAAAATGAAAGGACGAAAAGCGAATGTCCGGAGCTTTAGCCGGATCCTAAATCAATGGTGTACATGGGCTCCAGTATCCTGAAGGAACAAATGGCGTATGAACCAATTGTTGGTCACCGGCTTCCATGTGACTGCATCTCCTTACGCTGCTCCACTGCCTTGTGGATTAGACGTTCAGGTCGAAGGCTCGGGGTGTGGCCCCCTAAGTAACTCACCTGCTTCGGTTTGGGCACCCGTGCAGTATCACAGCCCTCACACAAAGTGTGGCGCTAATATATTTGGTGCCCTCTTGTACCAATATTTATGTGTTCAAATAAATAAAAATAAATTGATTGTTTGAATCTTTTTATTGACTTTTAAGACTGCAATGGGTCAGTATCTTATCAACATGTATGTATCCTTCGCGGATTGTCTTTATATTACGTTAAGCTACAAACATTATAAGCATAGATGGATTGTAGCTAGCAGTGGGACCTAGGACGCACGTTTCATCCTAGATAGATGGTTGACACGATGGTGTTTTAAGAGAACAGTACTAGGTTTGAGTCTCATTATGAACATCAACTCTGGGATTCAGTTACATCGAGTCCCAAATAGGACGAAACGCGAATCCTTTATCCCACTGCTCAGATGGATAGTTTACATAGTTTTTGTTTTATTTTTTTTCTTCTCTATAATGTCGTTGAACTCGAGCTCAGTGGTTTAAAAGCATCGTTTCTATTACAGGAACTCGGAGGTATGCAATTTTAGTTTGTATGAGACTATATATGCTCAATGTTGAAGTGTCCTATTTCGTAATATAAACTATTCTTGGATTGAACTATTCTCTGGTAACTATCCAGATTAAAATGTATACAGTCTTACTTTCTACACTATAATTTTCAATCTGAATTGTAGCAACAAATGACACGTTTTTATACCTATTTTTTATATTCATTCATCCAGGTGGTGTAAAAGTGCTCTGTAGACTTTTATGTTTAAATTCAGATCGTCAAGAGATTGCAGAACCAATTTGTTCAGCTTTAAGGCATGTAACTCATCGAAATCCTCATTCTAATTCAGCAATTTATGAGGTAAGTTCTTCCTGTTTCTTCTTTCTCCATGTTAAAGTTAACGTCCAATAATCCTAATATATTCCGTATCTTTATTAATTGTCATATGGATGATACATCATTCTTTAAGAAGTCTCAGAGTTTAATTCATTTTTTGTTACTGGTTGTTTGAATCTTCCTATTGGTGTTTAAGACTGTAATTGATCAGTCCCTTATTGGCATATATACATCCGTTGTGGGTTGCTTCGATGTTGCCTTAAATCACATGTATTATAAACAGAGATGAATGATAGCTAGCAGTGTAATCTAGAACGCACGTTTCGTCCTATTCGGGACTCATTTTTAATTGAATGTACTTGTATCCCAGAGTTGATGTTTACAGTGGGACTCGAACCCAGTGTCGTTCGTTCACTTAAAATGTTATTGATTGATTAATATGAAACGATCAATTGATAAGTTCATATGTAATTAAATCAACTAACTTGTTATTCTTGTCAACGGTCACTAAATGGAATATATATGCCAAAAACTGAAGAATTGATTATTTTTTACACTAATTAACCGCTAAGGATTAACTTATGTCACGATTGTTTAATTTTTAGTGCTGGTTTAATTCTATCAAACAACTCTAAATAACTTTGCATCACAGTCAATAGTAAGCCCTTTCATCAGACTTTGTCCAAGTTATTTCTCATCAATAACATGAATCAATAATAGATTCACTTGGTATTGTTTACTTGAATCTTCTCATTGATGTTTGTGGATTAAAGCAATGTCGAGGCAATACTCACAGTATGCACGTATGCCAATAACAGACTGATCAATTTCAGTCTAAAACATCAATGAGAAGATTCAAATAAGCAATACCAATTGAATTTAAACTTCGCCGCATTGCAGAAGCAATTGACTATCAGGACTAAGTAGCTAAGTGGATAACGCGATGGCGTTTGAAGTGAACGGTACTGGTTTGGAGTCCCGGAGTGAACATCACCTCTGCGATGCAGGTACATCCAGACGACGAGTTCGAAATAGGACAAGACACGCGTCCTGGACTACACTGCTAGCTATTATCCATCTTTTCTTATGAATCGATAATCTTGCAACAACTGATGTTATTTTTGGGATTCAATATGTTACCACCTAGATTGATAGTCAGAAAAGTTACCAACTTAGATCAATCAAATTACATCTTGGTATCAAGTCACTGATATTATTGATATTAATTACTAACCAATGATTAGTTGGTTTAAAAACAGAGTTGGGCAATGACTAGTAGTGGAATCCAGAACGCGCGTTTCGTCCTTTTTGGGACTCGTTTTTTTTACCTGAATGTACCTTCATCCCAAAGTTGATGATCTCTCCAGGATTATTATTACGATTTTTATTATTACAGTTTGTTTGTGGCAGTTATTTGATCAAAAGTTAGTTTTTTCTCCTCAGATGGAGAAATCTTTACAGAAGGTAGTTTTCTTTCAATCTCTTGTCAATACATTTTGAAATACTGTGGTGTGAGCTACTTATATCCACATAAGTAGTATATAACGATGGTCACGAATAGAATGTATTTCAGTACAAGATCGAGAAGGAAAGAACGAAAACGGAAAGCAATTGGTATAAAAATCCAGGAACAATGAAATCTGAGACGATGAACTGATATTTGCAAAAGAAACAGTCAAGTTCGAGACAATGGATTGATATTTTGCAAACTAAGTATTTACTGTATAGTTCACAGATTTTAGTGAGATATTCTGTAATTTCGTGTTCTAATACATTCGATTGTCCCCCCCCCACTCATGTTCTTGTTCACTACAGCGCCACTGAGAACTATAGAGTGCTAAAGAATCAATCTATCTTCAAAGATATACGCTTCTTGACTATATAGGCGCTTGAATCTTCAGTTAAAGCTCTATGCAAATCAGTCTACAAGACAGATGTTGTTGAACTCTGTTTATTTTCCTCTTTTAAACTAGGTACGTACCAGTGACACTTTGTCAACTATTGCTTCCTTATTCCTGAAATATCAATTTGTATCCGCCTTACCATTATTAAAATCTGTTGTTGGTCTTATTCGAAATTTATCTACTGTGGAAGTGACACGTCATGAACTTAAGTGAGTTAGTTATGTTTAATTATCTCATTGTAAATAATCAGTGAATAGCTGAATGTTTAATCATGGAGAAAATTTTAATCAAAGCTACTCATATCTTTATGTTCATAAAGTAGGTCTTGAAGAAATTCTAATTTTGACCAATTTTATCCATCTGTAAATGATAACATCGTCGATTGGAGATTATTAGCCAACTATTATATAAGTATGAGTTTAAAAGGTTTGGATAATTTTTTTTCTGGTTAGCGTTTTTTTTTGGTGAGTTAGTTTTCTACGGAATGGGGTCGCTAACGCCATGCCCAACCCTCCTCCTTTATACAGGCTTGGGACCGGCAGTAGCCCCCGGAGGGACTCCAGGCGGAGTTGGTCAATATCATACGGAATTCCTATGATGGATTAAACTGCTAAATTGTACATGGAGGACAATTGACAGACTCGTTCGAGGTAAAGACCAGTGTCAGACAAGGTTGCTTACTCTCACCCTTTCTCTTTCTCCTGGTGATCGACTGGATCATGAAGACGTCAACATGTGAAGGGAAACACGGGATACAATGGACATATAGGATGCAGCTGGATGATCTAGACTTCGCAGATGATTTGGTCCTTCTATCGCACACGCAACAACAAATGTATAAGAAGTCGACCAGTGTAGCAGCAGCCTCAGCAGCGGTAGGTCTCAATATACACAAAGGGAAAAGCAGGATTCTCCGATACATCACAGCATGCACCAATCCAATCACAATTGACGGAGAAGATTTGGAAGATGTAAAAACCTTTACGTATTTGGGCAGCATCATTGATGAACAGGGTGGATCTGATGCAGATGTGAAGGCGCTGATCAGCAAAGCAAGAGCAGCATATTTACAACTGAGGAACATCTGGAACTCAAAGCAACTGTCAACCAATACCAAGGTCAGAATGTTCAATACAAATGTCAAGACAGTTCTACTTTAATAATAATAATAATAATAATAATAATAATAATAATAATAATAATAATAATAATTTTTTCTCAAATAACAGTTTGTTACATGAGGCATGCCAGTTTACAGGCAAGGTCAAATTGATACAAATGATACAATATCCACTGTAGTAAATTACATAGCTGGGTTGATAAATTATAAGATATGAATGTAGATTGTTTTAATCAGTACTACAGTTGGCGTGCTTCACGAAGTTGCGTTGCGAATGTGCAACTGATGGTCCAGGATAGGAAGGAAGGGAGGAAACTTGGAGAACCACGTAAGCCATCTTCTAGGAGATACAGGTGTTTATTAACAGTTGTCTATGCAAAATACTTCGGATCCGTTGGCCGGACACTACTAGCAACAACCAACTGTGGGAGAGAGCAAACCAGATCCCAGCGGAGGAATAAATCAGAAAGAAGCGCTGGAAGTGGATCGGACACACATTGAGGAAAGCACCCAACTGCGTCACAAGGAAAAGAGGAAGACCAAAGAACACGTTACGCCAGGAAATGGAAATAGACATGAGAAAAATGACCAAGAATTAGGTGGAACTGGAAAAGAAGGCCTAGGACAGAGTGGGTTGGAGAATGCTGGTCGGCAGCCTATGCTCCATTGGGAGTAACAGGCGTAAGTAAGTAAGTATTATATAAGTATGAGGTTATTTGTAGAGATAAATGTATTATATAGTTTGACATAACATTCGATCTTAGTTGAACGGGCATCAAAAACGAGGAAAGACTGAATAGCTATTTCTTTCTAGTATAACATTCCTTAGTACTGCACGTTCACGACCACCACTGGGGATCTTATTCAGTACATTCAATTCTTATAAAGAATGATTAAATTGTAGACCATTAAGTTGCCATCTAATGGTCTACATACTTCGAATGTGAACTACTAAATTTAACACTCTTTATCAACCTCAGTACAAACCACCATGTAAACACTGGTAACTAATTTCAAGGGAAAATTTCCCAAGTTAAAATGAGAAACAGCGACCATCCGCTGATTCCATTAATATCGAATTTGAGGTACTTACTCATCGGTGACATTGAGAGATAGTTGCGCAATATCGTGAATTGGCTGAAGTTAGAAATATTAAGCTTTAGACGCTAATTTAAGGGTCTAAGCTTTCATCGGTGAACCTGAAGGTTGTAGATTCAATCCCCGATAGGTTCATAGATGGAAACTTCTGAAAAATCTCATACCATGAAAAAACAGATTTTTAACTTTCAACAGTTATCTGACTAAAGTAAGTCTGTGATATAAATCTATAAAATGATTGAATAGTCATTGGTCGAGAAAAATATTTTTACTGGAATCATGAACTCATCAATATCAGATTACCATTGAAAACCTGAACAAACTGAATAGTTATTTCATCCTAGTATGGGACTTCTTGGAGGTACGTATCCACAATCCTACATACTGAAATCGAACCCACGACCTTCGATCTCGCATGCGAACGCCTAACCTCTGGACGACTGACTCGGCAGCCAACAGTGTTAATATCTGACTTTAATCAATCCACAGTACTGCATGACCATCTTCTACTGTCTCTGATCGGTAATTGCATCTCACTTAATACAGTTGAAATCCACTAGTTACGACTTCTCGCTAAAGCTAATGAGAATTATCTTTCGAAGCTAGTCACCAGTGAGCAAATGTTAATTATCAGTATACGGTTGTGGAGATTGTTGGCCTACACTGAAATCATGTATTGATTGAAGTTAGACATCAACACCGTTGGATATCATCTCAATCGTTCAGAGGGTAGGCGTTCGCGTGCGAGATCGAAGGTCGGGGGTTCGATTCCAGCATACACGATCGTGGATGCATACTGCTAAGAAGTCCCATACTAGAATGAAATAACGATCCAGTTCTTCCAGGTTTCCAATGGTCATCTGATATTGATTGGTTGATGATTTCAATGAAATTCAACAATTTTCACAACACTTTACTGATGAAAATATTCATATTTTCTTTCATAACAGAGATTTAAATGTACCAGGAATGGTAGCAAATATTTTCTTACAAACATTTAATTCATTGAATAAGACCAATAGACAACAATATCATGGTATCACTGAAGAAGAATCGAATAATTATTTAGAAGGTGTAAATCTTGAAGATATGCTAGAATTAACATTGGCCGCATTACAGATTATGGCTAAAGATCAATCTATTCAAGAAGAATTCATTCATACAGCAGGTTTAGTTTCATCTGTTGTACAAGTAAGTTTATTATATCATTGATCTTGGTAAAAAGTATTCTAGTTTATTAATATTTTCAATAATTTAATTGAAAAATGCCCTGGTACGGCCGAGAGTGGGAAGAGTCCGCTCCCCCTCTCGAAATGCCCTCACATGGCCACGCGTATATAGTCTCTGCCAGGGAAGCCCTACTCACTGCCTTCTCGTGGCGGGGGTGTTTACGAAATTGAGAGAATGAAAAGCAAACGTCCAGGGCTTTAACCGAGTTGGTGGACATGCAGAGTCCACCTAGGGGAGTTGGAAAACCCTGATTCCAAACTAATGGTGTACATGGCTCCAGTATCCTGAAGGAACGAATAGCGTATGAACCAATCGTTGGTAACCGGCTACCATATGACTGCATCTCCTTACGATGCTCCACTGCCTTGTGGATCAAACCTTTAGGTCACAGGCACCGGGTTTAACCCCCTAAGTAAACCACCTGCTTCTATTGGACACCCGGGCAGTATCACAGCCCTTACACATATCATGTGAGATCTGTGTGACGCATATGTATTTGGTACTTCCTTGTACCAATATCTATGTGTTAAAATAAATTAGAATAAAATAAAACATTTTCTATCAGCTAGGAGTGTATATCTATAATTTTGAAGCAAATGGGATACTAACTGGTAATCATTTGTGATAATCAAAAAGCCTATTTATTTAATTACGTCCGTCACCCCTCATCGGGGAGGATAGACCGCCCACTAGCATTCTCCATCTAATTCTGTCCTGGAGAATCCTTTCCAGTTATTTTCAGTTGCTACTTATCCTATTCATGTCTGTTTCTATTTCCCGGCACAATGTGTTCCTTCGTTTTCCTCTGTCTTTTCCCTTCAGGATTCCAATAAGCACTTTCCTCGTGATGCAGTTTGATGATTTCCCCAATATGTGTCCTATCCACTTCCATCGTTGTTCCCTAATTTCCTCTTCAAATGGAAGCTGCTTTGTTCTCTCCCACAGTAAGCTGATACTGATGGTATTTGGGTGACGTTCATTGATTATCGTGCGCAGACAATTGTTTATAAGTACTTGTACTTTGTTGATGATGGTTGTAGTAGTACTCGAAGTTCCGTCTCTGCACAGTAGAACTGTGTTGACGTTCATATTGAAAATTCTCACTTTGAGATCGGTTGACTGATAGTTGTTTCGAGTGCTAAATGTTCTTCATTCGTAGAAATGCCACCCTCGCTTCACGTCTGTATCAAATCCTCATTGTTTATCGATGATGCTGACCAGGTTCGTGAAAGTTTTAACGTCTTCCAGAGCTTCTCCTTCAAGCGCGATTAAGTTGGTGTTTTCTGTGTTGTATTTGAGGATCTTGTTTTCCCCTTGTGTATGTCGAGGCCTAATGCTGCAGAGGTTGCTGCTACACTGAATGTCCTGACCCGTATTTGCAGGTGTGTATGAAATTGAATAGTTATACCATCTGCAAAGTTCAAATCGTCTAATCGCATTCAAGCTGTCCATAGCATTCTGTGCTTCCTCTGAGATATAGAGGTCTTCATAATCCATTTAAACACCATATGAAAGAGAAAAAAGGAGAGTAAGCATCTTTTTCTGACTCCGGTTCTCACTTGGAATGCGTCTGTCGAATTTTGTAACATATGTCTTATTCGCTTCCAACGTCTTTCCCTAATTTCCTTTTCAGCTGGAGGATGGTTTGTCCTCTCCCACAGTAGTTTGTTGCTGATATTATCTGATCCGAGCCACTCACTGTATTTTGCGCTCCCATTGAGATGTAGAGGTCTTTATAATCCAGCCGACCACTAAAGGGAAGAGAATGGGCTGAAATAATCTGCTTTGTCTGACACCGGTTTTCACTTGGAATCTATTTGTAATACTGAGATCAAAAAGCGATTTACCGAATAATTCATGACCTTTAATGCTTTCTCAGATATTTTCTACTCGTGATCACCGAATAGTCAGTGATATCACTCCTTTTTAGACCTTAATCCTTATCAACTTCCGACCGATCGATTTGCAACAGGACCACTGGTCTATGTGACATGACATTCAGTGCACCATGTCTTGACATCAGATAACTGGAGGTAATGGAAAGAAAACCCTGGATTGTGGTTCCATGATATTCGGAACTCTTTAACAAGGTATGCCCGTAATCTTGAGGAAAGTACTGCTGTCTAGCGAATTCGATCCTATGTCATCTACTTTCCAAGTTATAGACATTAATACTGTTGTATTTAGGCCTCAACCAACGTCCTACCAGATCGAGATATTTACAATTAATTAATCATTGAATAGTGGTCAATTACATGTTTGTCTAATCATTTAGTACTGACCTCCTAACTTCTCAACATAGTGCATATAATATCGAATCACGTAAACTAGTAAGTCATATTATGATTAGTTCAACAACTGTAAGACTTAAATAGTTAATCGTGAAATTGGGTTACATCTCGTTTAATTTATTTTTTTAATATTTAGTTGGTATATTCTCCATCTGTATGTTTACAACGTGCTTCAACTGCTTTCTTAAGTCAGTTGTCAACATCTCGTTCTGGATGTCAAGCAATTGAAAATGAAGGAGCTTGTCCTCGATTTACTGAACTAATTCAGTCGAATAATGAATATATTGGTAAGTGACCAAAATAAAATTTTATTCTCGTCACATAAATCATTCGACTCGTGTGAGGGCTTGGATAATGTCCGGGTGCCCAAACCGAAGCAGGTAGTTTTCTTAGAAGGCCACACCCGGAACCTTCGAGCTAAAGGTCTGATCCACATGGCAGT